TCCAACCCTTGATCTCAGCTCAGGTCTTGATCTCAGGGCGGAGAGTTCAAGCCCTGCGTTGGGCTCCATACTAGGTGTGGACCCTACTTAAAAAAATTTTTTTTAACATGCAGCCAAATTCAAGAAACAATACCCTTTTACTATCAGATGGTATTTTTTTCTTTAATTGTCTTTCTCCCATAAAAAAAAAACAACTAAAGTTATTTTAAAAGGAAGCTTAAATCTGGTAGGGTTGTGGGAACTTTTTCTTTTTTTGACCCCAGTGAACAGAGAGGAGTTTTTCATACTCCTCACTTCTTCGCACATCCTGTTTGTAAAAAACGCTTTGCTTATTTCTTGTTTCCTTCCTTTTATCCCCGTTCTTCATGCTCGCTCCCTTTCTCCCCCAGACGACTTTCCCAGAGATGACCGTTCTAATTGTTGAACATGGATTTCTTGGTGGTGATCTATTCTTACTAAATGTCTATGGCTGTTGTAGGTGCAGGGATTTTTAATTTTCTCAAAAGGGATTGTGTAATACAGTTCAGTCTGTTTCCTTCTTTTCTCGCCCTGTATGGTTTTAAAGACCCAGCCTTGGTCCTACCCGTGCCTAATCCTCTGCCCCTAATGCCCCCCCGCAAAGTCCTCTGCAGTGCCCATTTGCTGTCTTTTACTTGTCCTTCTCTGTGATCAAGGGCACCCATTGCCAGCTCACTGCCCACTACCAGTGGGCAGCGATACCGCCCTCAACATCCTTGACATGGATGCTCCTAGCGGTCTTGGGATACGACAGTATATACCCAGGAGCAGACGTACTGGGACATGTGGGTCACCCTCTTAGACTCGGGGCTCTTCTTCCAGGGGACATTGTGGCATTTGGGGTCTAGGGACCAGGCTGACCCGGAGCTTGGTGGATCAGGCTGGCCCTTGGAGCCTATGTTGGCACCAAGCAAATGCTTAGCCTCCTCCTGAGCATGAAGGTCAAGGCTGCTGTGTCTCAAGCTCCTGCCCCTGGTCAGTCCACTTGGTCTCTGCCTCCCGGCCCTTGGAGGCCGCATTCCTCCAACTTCTGGAGGCTGTATCATGGCACACGGGGCTCGTGGAGCTGCACAGTCTGGCAGGACTGGGGTGGGCGGCAGGGGCTGCCCCCAAGACAGAATGAGAGTGTGTGTGTGTGTGTGTGTGTGTGTGTCTGGACGCAAGGCTATGGGGAACAGTTTTGACAGAATACACTCACCCGGGCAGATTTGCTTTGGGTGTGCATCATCGATCGGTCCTAGAGTGTCCAATTCTGAAAAAACCCTACTGTTCTGGAAAATCCCAAGGCAGGCCTGCTCAAGAAATGCCAACGGGAGACAGGGGGTGGTGACTTGGAAAGACAAACACCAGTCAGTCCCAGCACACACACCCCTCCCCCAACACCACCAGACGCCAGCCCTGAGGAGACGGGAGGTGGGGGACTTCACAGGGGCCCCTGCCCCTTCACATCCTCATTTAGGCTGCGACCACCTGCCCAGTTCCCCGGCTCCCTTATGTTCTCTCTCCTGCTGTATCTGTACCTGGGAGACAGTGTAATACAGGGATTCCCCAATCCAGTCACCCCCGGGGCCACCTTCCCAATTTTACCATATCCACGAGCCACCTGGGCTAGTATTTACTTTATATTTTGGTGTAATGCCAGTCCCTGAAAAATGCTTAAAAACCCATTCACTTAAGATGTGTTTAAATCCCTTGTATCAGTGGAAAACCAACAGCACTCGCCTTAACTGGAGAGTAGCTAGGAGACACAGTAGGAAAGCAGAGCAAAGCTGTTAAAATGTAGCCACAGCCTGTTGCCCGCAGAAGCTTCTGGATTCCTCCACCCCTGGCACCATCTCCTGGAAGCGGTTGGCAGGCTTGAAAAATAATTGATGAATTTCACTTTTCCTGGAATTGCTGTTCATTGCAGGGCTGTGTCCGGGTCCCTCCGCTATGCTCACGAGGGGGTTCCCCAACAAGGGAGATGAACTTGTATCGGATGCCCCTCGCGTGGCCCCGGCCCCCACCAACTGAAGACATCCCATAAGGTTTTTTGTTGTTGTTGTTGTTGTTTTAACCGAGAGAGGGTGGCAGGAGCTTGAACTTCCGTGATGCTGAAGAAAGCACTTGCGGTTGTGGGAAGCACTTGCCGACGCTTACTAAGAAATGTGCGTTGCATATAATAAATGTTTGTTGCACAAAGGAGCAGATGAATGAGTGAACTCTCCCCTAGAATGTAAACTCCACCAGGACAGTATTTTTTCCATCTCTTGTGGTCACTGCTGCGTCTAATTCTTGGGAGTGCTCTGCGCCTATTAGGTGCTCTGTGAACATTTGGGAAGGCAATGCGGAAATCGATGAAACTGTAAAATAATGAGTGGAGGAAGAAGTGATTGAGCACCTGAATGAGTGTCAGCACTATCCCTAGACTCAAGAGGCTGGTCTTTTGTCAAGTTGCAGGGCCCCAAGTTGCAAGCCCTGAGCTGGGGACCAGGGGATGGAGACAGCAGAGAGGAGAAAGCTAAGCACAGCCTCGGAGCACTGGCTCAGAACCTCTCAAGGTTCCCTTAGCAGCAGCTCCTACTGGCGGGAGAGGAGCGTGCTGGGAGCTGCCTTCACGGCTGGGGCAGGCCTGGCAGGTCCCACCAGCAGCCGAACCCTCAGTGATGTCCTTCTTACCCCATCCCGCCAACAGGCCACATGGTGGAGGGAGAAGCTGTTTTCTGCTGCACGGGGCAATGTGATGCCAAGAAGCATTTTTCCTCTCCAGAAAGCTTGATTTTTCTTCCCTGCCAGGCTGGGGTGGTGCTTCCTGAGATTTGCATATCTGGGGCAGCTCCCCAACCCCCTACACACACAAAAGGGCACGTATCGCCCCCCGCCCCCACTGGAGTGTTTACATGGAAGCTTGTGTGCTGAGCACAGAACATTCTTGTGGGATAATGTTTAACCAACATGTGGTTGGCGGTATCACTCTGGTTCTGGGTGGCTCAGTGAGGACCAGGTGAGGGGCCAGCATTCCTCCTCATGGGCTTTGAAGGAGGCCGAGCAGTTGCCCTGCTCCCTCCCATAACCCTACCGCCCAACTCAACCCCAGTAGGGAAGGGGCATCCTGTTGTTACCTTGAAATAGCAAAATGCTCTCTTTCTAGACTTTTTTCCTAAGCTAACAGGGAAGCCAGGTTTTTTAAGCAATTTCTTGGTGCCTGTAAAATATGGGCTCAACCCAGCTAAAATAGTCATCCCAGTACGTGTTATGATTTGTGAATATTTCCTAGCTCACGAATAGACGGATAACCTGACTGCAGTGTCTTGGAAGATGGGGACTGGGTCTCATACTTGCAATCCCCACCCCATTCAGAAACCCTGGCATTTTCGTGTGTAAGCAGCTTTCCCTGACACCGAAATCTGAGATGGACCCGACCATATAAAGTCTAGGGCACACTATTCCCAAACCTCAGTGTGGATAAGGACCATGGGGGAGCTAGCTAAACATCTAGACCTCCAGATCTCTCTGTGATTGATTCATTCATTCTATGACTGTTTATTGAGTTCCTACCATGAGTAGAGTTGGTAGATTTAGCAAATAAAAATGCAGGATGCCCAGTTAAACTTGAATTTCAGAGCAACGACAAATCATTTTTTTTTTTAGCGTAGGTATGTCTCGTGCAGTAGCCAACACATATACTTAAAAAGTGCTTTGTTGTCGATCTGAAATTCACATTGAACCAGGTGTCTTGTGTTTTATCTGGCAGCCCTCAGTCTGCGCCAAGCACTGCTCCTGGCAATGGGGATGCCACATGGACAGAGCAAGGCCCCCAACTTCTTGGAGTGCACATGCTAGTGAGGGAGATGGACAAACGGCTAGCAGAAGGAGAGAGGTTGGAAGTCAGCGTGGTAGGGTACCACGGCCAGGCTTGTCAGGAAGGGAGCACATATAACCTCCCTTGGTCCTGCCAGGCCTGGCCAAGGGTATTAGCATAGCCCACCCACAAAGAGTCTTCTGGAAGGAGCGGGGCACCATGAAAACTGGAACTGCTCACGGTGATGGTGGCAGGGAGGGGAGGGGACGTGTCAGCCACAGTGAGGCGACAGGTGCGGAGTACTCTGGATTCTGGCATGCTTAAGGTCGGCCAAGTGCAAGATCGCGTTCCTTCTGGTCATGGACTGCGCCAGTGTGGCCGATCTTCATTCGTCCTCTTGTGCTTTCATTTTTTATTATGGAAAACTTCAAACACTCAGAAGTGGAGAGAATCCTATAAAAGACCCCCATGGATCCAACATGAGTATCACCATTTTAGCCACTTTTTTCTCGTGATGACCTTTTTCTGATTTTAGCTTTATTTTTTATGGAAGTATAACACTCTTACAGTAAAGTGTACAACTTGATGAATTTGGACGAAGATTTTTTTACCTGTGTTTACATCTAGGGAGCCTCCACCCCTATCAAGATATAGAACATTCCCGGTCCTCCGCAGGCTCTCTCCTGTCCCTTCCTGGCATCTGTACACCCATCAACTGTAGGGAATTTTATTGGGGAAAATATTTCTACACATAAGTAGAAAATTTTGAGTCTCTCTCTCCCCTTTTCTCCCTTTCCTTCCTTCCTTCCTAGTTTATTTACTGACCTAGTTACATAAATTTTGGATTACAAAGAGATCTAGAACACCCTAGATTAATTCAGATTAAAGTGGATTCAGAGATGAGCTTTTTGGATTGTTTTGGATGATTGTGTTCATCTTAAAGGCGTTTCTCCGCCTCCCTCTGTCCCTCCCACTGAACACTAATTGGCTGACTCCAGTGGATGCTGGAGATTGGAAACACAACCAGCCTTGGCACCTGCCCCTCCCCTGTGTTCACAGGGTCCTCAAGCTGCTTTCCCAGGGTTGTCTTAGGAAGAGCGCAGCCCCTGTGCCATGGGGACTCAAGGTTGGGGAAGGAGTTATTTAAGTACCCAGCCTGGAGGTGGCTGCTTCCATGACACACCCCACACATTCCCCACAGACGCTGCAGGAGATCTTCCAGGCAGAGAATACCATCATGCTTCTGGAAAGGTCCATCATGGCCAAGGAGTGCCCACTGAAGGTGGCGCAGACGAGGCTGGAGTGTCGGACCCGGCGCCCCAATGTGGAGTTGTGCAGGGACATCCCACAGTTCAAGTGAGTCAGGGAGACCAGGACGGGGAGGGGTGGGTCTCCAGAGCTCCCAGGAAACCTGGGTCTGATAAATGGACCACTTCCCCGCCACCACCAATCAGGACATGTAGCCCCACAACTCAGCAGGACACTGGGCGGGGGTCTAGAGTTCTGGGGCCCCCTCCATAGCCTCCCCCACCTTGTGCTCTGGGAGCCCTCCAGCTTTCCCCTGAAAGCTAAGGAGAGGGAGTCGCCCAGGCCAGAGACATGACCTGTGGCCCAGGGTTGCTTCCCCGCCCCTCTGCTAGCCCAGGAGAGAGGCATCAGCTCCCACCCCCTCCTTGGTCTCCATCTCCCTCTTGGAAAGTTCTCCATGAACACTGGAAGAGTTTAATCCTGCCAATCCTTCTTTGTGAAGGGGGGCTGCTCCTGTGGACAAGGGACCCCCTCACTGGAGAGGGGGTGGAAAGCTCATGCAGCTCCAGAGCACGGGTTTGTGAGCATGGGGTCGGGCTTGGAATGGGATGAGGGCCAGGCAAAGGAGGAACTGCCATCAGACATGGGAATATGAGTGACTGGGGGCAGGCCCCTTGGTTGTGTGGGCCTTCCATGCTGGGGGCACTGTACCAGCTCCCTATTGCTGCACAGCAAATGCCCCACAACTCAGTGGCTTGTCCTCATCCTGAGCGAGACGTGTGGAGATGTGAAGAGAGCCAGAGAAGTAAAGAGAAGGAGGAAGAATGTTCTGAGAGAAAATGCTGGATGGCTCCAGGTGATACTGTGTGATGTTTGCATAGCCTCGTTGCTGCGAGATAATCACTCAGGAATCAGAAAAGCTGGGTGTGTGTATTGGCAGGGAGTGGGCAGGGAAAGTGACCCCAGGCTTTGAACTTGAAGGCCTGGCTACCTGCTCCTCAGCCTGCTGCTGGCCTGGAAGCTCTTCACCCCTGGAAGTGGGTGCCGTGTCCAGGGTAACCACCCCAGCTGGGCTGGAAGGGGTCCAGGTTCCTGCTGAGGGCTTGGGGGTAACTCTCCCGATCCCTCCTGCACCTGTCCCCACTTCTTAGATGCTCAGGTTGGGTTCCAGAACCCTCTGGGTCTGAGGGCTCTCTGATAACCCACCCCAAGGGACTTACCCAGAACAGGGCTTTTGGGGACCACATTTGTCCTGGAGGACCTACTCCTCTAGGACAAGCTCCCCACCTCCTTGTCCACCAGCTGTGCCCCTGAAGAGGGTAGATGGGGAGCATGGATGGGCCTATGTTTGGCTCAGGAGCCCCAGGCAGTGTGTATGCATGCACGCACGTGTGTGTCTGTGTGTATCTGTGCATGTGTGTGTGTGTGTGTATCTGTGTGTGTGCATGAGTGCGTTGGGAACTGAGCAGGTAACAGGACTCAAGCCGTCTGCCTTCTCCGGCAGCTGAACTGTCCCATCTGCGCATTATCTCCCTCACCCCCCATCCTTCCTTTCCCACCTCTGGGCCTTCTTTCCTGTTTCTTCTACAGGTAACCCCTCCCCCTCAAACCCTCTCTCATGGGTCGGCTCCCATCCATGCCCTTTCCTGAGAATGAACACCCATTTAAATTTACATGTAAATTAATTAACAGAAACAAATGTTAAACCTCAGCTCCTTATGTCCGTGAACCCCATTTCAAGCAGGTGGTCAGAGGCTGCCGTATTGGACAGCACAGAACATTTCCGTGGCTGCCGAAAGTTCTGTTGGACAGCACTGGGCTAGAGCTCCAAGTAGCTAAGAGGTTCCAGCCTGCTCTGTGACCTCTGTCTAGCCCAGGCCTGCCACGGGAAGCCCATCTTGATATCCAACTCAAGACCTTCCAGTAGTGTGTCCCCCGCCTGAGGCCAGAGGTGGGACTCAGGGCACAGCCCGGCCACCGAGCTACCATCACAGCTCACGTGGTGTATTCGCTCCCTAGGCCTGCTGTAACGGGAATTTGTTTGAGTATCTGTTTGCAATTCTCATGGGTATATACCTAGGAGCGGAATTGCTGGGTCATATGGTAAGTCTACATTTAACTTACTGAGGAACCACCAGATTGTGTCCCTAAACATCCTGTTTCTTCCTTTGTGCTCATCACCGTCGGCCACTCCCCACCCTTCTGCCTGTTCTGCCTCTGTCTTCCCTGACCGCTGAGCCTCGTCTGTCTTGCTCACGGCTGTCTCCGGCACGTGGCACAGTTCCTGGCACCTAGTAGGTGCGTCTGTGCTGACCAGCTCGGTGAACTGTGCCTTCTCCTCTGCTCTCGCTGCAGGCTCGTGAACGAGGTGTTCACCATCGACGACACCTTGCAGACTCTCAAGCTGAGACTCCGCGAGACGCAGGACACGCTCCAGCTGCTGGTAATGACCAAGTGCCGGCTGGAGCACGAGCTGGCCATCAAGGCCAACACACTCTGCATCGACAAGGAGAAGTGCATGAGCATGCGCAAGACCTTCCCCTGCACGCCACGCCTGATGGGCTATACCTGAGCCGCTGCCGCCAGCCCCTGGCATCCTGCTCTGCGCCTGTTCCGTGTGCAGCATAAAAATGGAAAAGGCAGAAAAACAAAATAAAGTGTCATTTTCTCCCTTTCCTCCTATCATGGAAAGAAAAACCACGTTATATAAATATATATATTGAGAGCCAAAATAAACGTGCCCAAACCAAAGATCCTGGAGCTCGTTCCTTACTGCAGAACCGGCCTCCTGGCAGATCCTGGGAGGAGACAGACTGGTTTCTCAGGGATGGAGTGTTGTGAGGTTCTCGGTGTCCCCAGGAATGGAAGGGGGCACATGTTTTTGAGACCTGTTTGTCCATTTAGGAGCACAGTATAGACCACGGGATCCAAAGACTGGACGCCGGAGCTGAGAGTCCAGAGCCCAGCCGTCATGTAGGAGCTGTGTGGCCTCGGACAGGCTCCCAACCTGAGCACCTCAGCTATAAAATGAGGTCAGTCCCAGGCAGAGGCGATTGTCCCGTTGTGTGGGGCAGGAGCAAACAGCTAGGATTTGGAGCCAGAAGTCCTGGGTTTGAATCCCAGCGTTGCCAAGGGGGGTGTTCTTGAAATTGTTATGGGAGGAAAAGGAGACAAAATTAGTTCTGTCGGTGGGACAGGAGAAGGCAGGTGAGGGTCAAGGAAAAGCTCTATGATGATGTGACATTGCTTGAAAACATTAAACATAGAACTCCTGCATGAGCCAGCACTTGTACTCCTAGGTATATAACCAGGAGCACTGAAAACAGATACTCAAAAAAAAAAAAAAATGCTGGTACACAGATATTCATAGCAGTGAGCTAATAAGCACAATCGCTAAAAAGGGAAAACAACCCAAATGTCCATAAATGAATGGAAAAACAAGACGTAGCCTGTCCATGCAATGGAATTTTATTCTGCGTAAAAGTAACAAAAACCTGCTTCAACACGGATGAGCCTTGAAGACATCACACTGAGTGAAAGAGCCCAGACACAAAAGGCCACACATTGTGTGATTCCATTTATATGCAGTGTCCAGAATGGGCAAATCCCTGAAACAGCAGATTGCTGGGTGCCAGGGAGAGGGGGTTGGGGAATGACGCTCAGCTAAACGCCACAGAATTGCTCGCTTTACCTGGTTGATTTTATGTCACGTGAAATTCACCTCAAATAAGAGAAAGAAAAGTCCTATTGGATTTGAGTAGTGAATGATGAGGAGGTGGAGGCAGAAGAGGGTGGGCTTTTTGGTGAGAGAAACGGCCTGAATAAAGGCAGGGAGCTAAGGTCCCGGATGCAGAAGCCCTTTGCAGAGGCGTGTGAATCATCTTGAAATAGTTTCAACTTTTTATCCCGAGGCCGGTGTTTCCCAGGCTTCATTATTCACATCAGTACTTCCGAGAGTTTTCTGTGCATGCACAGAGCACCCACAGACCTTGTTAAAAATGCAGATTCTGAGTCAGGAGGGCTGAGGCAGAGCCTGAGGCTCTAAAGTTCTAACAAGCTCCCAGATGCTGCTCCTAGTCCAGGGACCACACTGGGAGTAGGAATATCACCTCGACTGTCTGCCAAAGTCAAGCACCACCCTTCCTGTTATTCACTCCATCTTTTAGATTTTTGCACTTAAAAAAAAAAAATCTTGGATTTATTTTAAAGGCAAATTTGTAGCATGACCGTAGACAAGTGCCCTGTGCCCAGGGTTGAAAAAAGCGAAATATTGCTAATGATGTCTGGTTAGGAAGTACTGTCTGCCCAAGGTGATGCTGGCTGAAAGGCTTCTCTCCTTTTGTTCAGAAGGGAGATCAGCAAGTCCTAAAGAGGTGTTGAAGACTACCTACCGTCCAGTGTCCGGCGGAGACTATCCTTGAGGTAAGCTTGCTTGAAAGAGGACAAAGGGTCAGTTTTTCTACAAATGAATTTCAATCCTGTTTCAGGCCTTGTATGCATGAATCTAGGCATGTCTGCAGGCAGGGGGGAGTCCATAGGACCTTTAACGTGGGGATGTGAGTGACCAGATTGGTGTTTTAGAAATAATTCCTCCATGCGGAGGAGTCAGGAGGAGAGAGAAGTTGGAGGGAGGGGATGGGGTGGGGAACCCATCTATTAGAATTTAAGGCAGAGAGACAGACAGGTGCAGGAGGCACATTCATGGGGCTGAAGCCACAGTCCTTAGAGTGCAGCTTGTAGGGGGCAAGCGGGGGTCAGGATGGGAGGAGATGGGCTGGCAGTGGAGAGATCCTGAGAGTGAGAGAGAGGGGCGCTGCTGGTGTGGGCAGAGGACCAAGGGGCACAGAGAGCACAGAGAGGCAGAGTTCAGGGGAAGCAGCGTCCAGGGGATCGAAGACAGATGCAAGTGTGGGATGTTCCGAAGAATAAAGAAAACCCTTTGGAGGCAGGTGTGCTCAGTATCCCACTGGCCTGTTTGGAAAGCAAATTGGCAACATGTGTCAAGAGCCTTAAAAGTATCCAGACCCTTCCACGTAGGAATGTCTTTCTCAAGACTGTCTTTAGGAAACTATTCAAATGCAGACCCAGCTGTGTGCGTTAGAGTTTATTTATCGTAAGAGACCTCTGAACGCCGGGTCCAGCAGCAGAGTGAGCAGCTAAGCAAAGCACGGCCCAGCCGAGTCATGGAATATTGAGTAGCTCCGAGACCCATGCCAAATGCTTGAATGCTGAGGGAATGTGCTCGTAAGGCTGAAAGCCCAGAGGACAAAATTGTGATGTTAACCGATCCTCAGTTGCGTCAAAAGTGCACAGGAAAAAAGACTGTATTGAAATACACTGGCATGCTCACAGCCGATGGTAAGTGGTAAGCAAGTGCCGGCTACTCGTTTATAGGATGAATTATCTGCAGTGAACATGTCTTCCTTTATTAATCGGGAGGAAGTGCTTTTATAAATAGACCTTATTTTGCAGTACTTCGGGATTTATAGAAAAGTTACAAAGAGGACACAAGCAGTTCCCGCACGTACCCTTTGCCTGGCTTGCCCTGGTGTCATCTTCCCTAAGGGTCCTTCCGGTGCGTTTGTCAAAACTAAGAAATGAACATCAGTGCGTTAGAGTTAACAAACTCCGGAGTTTGTTTCTGTGGTTCAGACTTCTTCTGTCCTAAGATCCGACCCAGGGTAGCTCATGGCATTTAGTTCTTTAATTCCCTCGATGACGGTTTCTCAGGTGGCCCCTGTTTCTCGTGACCTTGACGGTTTTGAAGAGTACCTGTATTTGTAGGGATTTGAAGGTGTTCGTCAAATGTCTCTGAATTGGGGTTTGTCTGATGTTGTTCCCATGATTAGTCTGGGGTTACGGGTTTGGGGGAAAAGACCCCCGAGGTGACGTCCCCATGGTGGACAATGACCCTGGTGATGGTGACCGATCCCTTGCGGAAGGTGGTGTCTGCCAGGTTTTCTGCACCATATGTTCCTGCTTTTTCCTTTCTGTGCTCTGTAAGTAAGTCACTAAATCTAGCCCTCGCTCAAGGGCAGGGGGATTAAGGCCCCCATCTTGGAGGGAGAGTATTTACATAAATTATTTGTAATTCTTCCCTAAGTATGTCCTTTGACCCTTATTTATTCTATCATTTATTTGTATTTATGCACTCATGGATGTTTATTTTAGGCTTTGAGTTACAATCTAATACTACCTTATTTACCATGTCCTTCCAATCGTTCTGGCTTTGGCCATTGGGAGCTCTTTCAAGTTGGTTTCTGTGACCCTTGGACACGTGCCCCTCCCACCCTTCCGTCTTTTGAGCACTTCCTTACTTTCCAGCCCTACAAGATGCTCCAGGCTCCTCTTGATTTTTTTTTCCTTGCTCCATCCCTAGAACTAGCCATTTCTCCAAGGAGCCCTGGTTTGGTTTTTGTTTCTTTGTTTTAGTTGTTGGGTCTTTTGGTTTGGGTTGTTTTTTGTTTGTTTGTTTGTTTTTTGAGAACAATATTTAGAAACCAAGGTCTGGTAATGTGCATCAGCTATACTCAAAGAAAAAAACTGGGGGGCACCTGGGTGGCTCAGTCAGTTAGCATCTGCTTTCAGCTCATGTTGTGATCCCGGGGTCCTGGGATCGAGCCTCGAGTTGGGCTCCTTGCTCAGTGGGGAGCCTGCTTCTCCTTCTCTCTCTGACTCTTGTGAATAAATAAATAAAATCTTAAAAAAAAAAAAAAGAAAAAGAAAAAAACTAAAAAAGGAAACCAAGGTCTGGGTGCTGGGTGTGCTCATTGCTAAAAAAAATTTTTAACTCTCTCATTGTGATAAAATCCGCGTCACATAAAATTGGCCATAGCCACCATTTTTAAATGTACAGTTTGGGGGTATTGGATACATTTGTAATGCTGTGCGACCTTTACCACCATCTCTCTCTATAACTCTTACCGTTTTATAAAACTGAACCTCTATACCCATTACACACTAACTCACCACTCCCCCCGCCCCCCAGCCCCTGGCTGCCACCCTCCTCCTTTCTGCCTCCATGATTTGGACTACTCTATGTCATACACGTGAAATCCTACAGTATTTGTCTTTTTTTTTTTAAATGTTTTTTTTTAAGATTTTATTTATTTGAGAGAGAGAGAGAGAGAGAATGAAAGACAGAGAGCACGAGAGTGAAGAAGGTCAGAGGGAGAAGCAGACCCCCTGCCGAGCAGGGAGCCCGATGCGGGACTCGATCCCGGGACTCCAGGATCATGACCTGAGCCGAAGGCAGTTGCTTAACCAACTGAGCCACCCAGGCGCCCCAGTATTTGTCTTTTTTGACGGCTTATTTCTCTTAGCATCACGTCCTCCAGGGTCATCCATGTTGTAGCATCTGTCAGAATTTCCTTCCTTTTTAAGGCTGAGTGGTATACCACCGTATGGATCTACTACATTTTGCTTCTGCATTCCTCTGTCCGTGGACACCTGGGTTGTTTTCATGTTTTAGCTGCTGGGATGATGGCACAATGAACATGGGCATATACCTATCTCTTTGAGACCCAGCTTTCAATGCTTTGGGATGTATACCCAGAAGAGGAATTGCTAGGTCCTATGGTAATTCTATTTTTAATCTTTTGAGCAACCACCATGTTATTCCCCTCTAGGGTTCCCATTTCCCCACATCCTGGTTAACGCTTGTTCTCTTCTGGGCTTTTGACAGTAGCCGTCCCCATGGGTGTGAGGTGGTATCTCACTGTAGTTTTGATCTGTGTTTCCC